TGGATGTCCAAGTTCTGCTATGGTACAGGTGAGGATGGTGAAGAACTTCTCGGAGTCCAGCAAAGAGCGCTATATATGGCTGCTATTCTGTGCTATAGTGTGAGCTTCTGTGGTGTAGTGGTTGAACATGCTGTGTTGGACACTGAATTTGCAGGTCGCCGGTTCAATTCCCTGTGGTGGCATTTTTTTTTGCCGCCGCTGCACCCGCTAACAAATATTGTACACTTGACCTTGATCAAGAGCAGCTGTCCTTTGATTGACTTCCATGCATATCATCTTTATTCAATACATCTCACAGTGAACTTGGGCATGAACTTGAACAGGGACTTGGAGGACTTGGCCAAGTACCTGGTACTTGGCCAAGTCGACCCACCCGACTTGGCCAAGTCCATTGGACTTGGGGTACTTGAGGTACTTGGGATACTTGAGGTACTTGGCCAAGTACCTCAAGTACCTGTACAAATTCGTGACGTTTTCCTGATGTGTGAGATGCACGGAATGGAGCGAGTTGATGCAGTGGAGAAGCTGGCAGGCCTTGTGCTGCGTGCGGCACATCCCTAACGTACGAAATCCATGCGCGCTTGCTTGCGTGGCACACGAAGAGCGGACCCGCATTTGTTGTGCCCATGTAGTTCCAATCCTGTATGCATGTCAAAAGATGGTCATTCTATGACATTACAAGGCGAGCTTCCTGTATATAATGACATTGCCACCAGAGTTCCCGACGGCCTTGTTATCGCCTCGCCCTGCCCAAGGTTTGGAATGGCGAGCTTATGCGTTCCAATTCCCTGCTTGGCAATTTTGGCGTTACCATTCCTGCCACGCATGGCATTGCCGCTGGCACGGTTTCGCACATTTGCTGATGCAGCTCCATCCCCGTAGCCGCTTCGTCCTCCTCGCCAATGTCGATCTACAGAGCCAGGAACAGCTCAAGAAGTTTTACGACGCTGTCCAGGCTCAACCACACCTTCAGCCTCTTGTGCGATATCTGTCGGTTCCGTGGTACCATCAGCAAAAGTGTAAAAATGTTGCCGTACATTACCCACCCGCACCCCCTCAGGCAATTGCGGAAATACCGTGCAACATGTAAGCATTATTGGGCGCACCTTGTCTGGTTTCCAACCTAGCGCAATAAACCTGACCGGGTCGGAAGACCAGGCAATGTCCGAAAATACCAGGCAATACTGGCGACATCTTGCTGGTATTGCCTGGTATTGGTGGTGTTGCACTAGCTTGCAATGAGGGCGATCGAGCGCCGTACCTTTCTATATTGCGCGTGATTGTTGGGGTTGCGAGATGGGGTATCATTGAGAATGCCGGGCAGCACAGGGCACCACCTTGGGTATATTGCCAGATATTCGGCACCTTGTCTCGGATTTTTGGGGTTGGGCTATAGGACGCGCACTCGGAGGATACACACGCAGAAGATATATTGTAGAATCAGAGGCATATAGACAAAAATGAGCATACAAGACAACCACGAAAGGGAATGGGTGCTGCGCTGCACGGCACAGCACATTGGCACAGGCGTAGCCGTAGACGAGCACAGAGACACGGCGGGCGCAAAGACAAGGGGAGAAACAGCAGACGTCGGTGACGTGCTCTCGACACGGTTACAGCATGTAGCACTCACGATCTCGACCGTCTTCCTGCGCTTCTCCGCGTCCCTTTCCAACAGGCTCGCGAACGTCTGCCCGCCCTTGGAAAACTTCCGCTTCAGCTTCCCGCTGTCCTCCCTGTCCGTCAGCATGATGTGCTGGTCTCGCGAGCCTGACCCGTCTTGTATCTTCGCCTGACCATCATTCTTCCCGTTCGTTGATGCCGGGGTAGGCGAGGGACCGGAGATGGCTGCAGATGTGAAGAGTGTAGGCAGGGGGGAGTCGCGATGGAGAAGGCGGCGGAGACAGAGGCGGAGGGCACCCCTCCGACCAGATTGCAAGGCGTGACGAACGCAAATGGTGTCCAGCAGCCAACAATGCCCGCGGACTCAGTCTTGCTCGCCCCACCGACCTCCCGCTGCATGCATCACATGGTCAACGACCACCGACAGGTCCTCCGGTCCTTGCATCCAGTTGTCGCCTGAAGGAGCTGCGACGTTCGCGGGACGCTATCGGGAAATTCAGCAGATGATTTCGTGAACGAGACACTCACTGGCCACTTGCATGAGGCGGCGCAAGGTGAACGGCTCGCGCGGTTCACGAGTGTCATGGTAAGGGTAAGTATGCGGAGAATTGTAGGAAGGAAGGTGTTCGTATGGAGAGGTCAATAGCCGTAGACAGAGATGAGTACTTACGTTCGCAGCAAACATTACCCCACATCTTCCTCTTGTTCGATGGTCTGCAGAAGGATGTGTGAGTACGAATGGCAAGAATGAATTAAGATGGTGGTCAAGGTTGGACAGGGAGCACAACGAAGGGCATCCAGGGAGCGCGACGAAGGGCATCTTTAGCATCGCACCACGCCTACCGGTGAAGTTTCGGCCGCCTCTTGGCAGGGTCCGTTGGACAAGAATACACGCGCAATAGTGAAATTGAGATGTCTTTCCAGATGATGGAAACAGAGGATTGAGAACGAAGAGGCGCTTACATGGGCGAGGACAGGCGAGACCACCCAAACCAATGCAGAAATGCATCATACGACAGATGATGTCTAGGCAGCTGGGTTCTGGTACTATGTTCTCTCGCGCGATGCCTGGTGGAACACACTTCAAGCACGTGTATATGCGCATCATATGGCACATATAGGACTTGCAGGGAGGTGGTGATGTTCTCGCGGAGGATAGGACAACACAGGACGAAGGAGAAGATACTTGCTCAGCAAGGCTACCTGTCCGCCTGACACATAGATGCGCTTCCGCTTCTCTGGGCGAAGAATGTTCGCTCGTCTTGCGCGAGCTCCGAGTTGTCGATCAATGGGTTGGTCGTGTCGTTATAAACGGAAACATGGTTCCGCTACCGAGGCATTAGCAAACAGTTCAATCGCACAGTAAACAGATAGTCACTGATGTCGCAGACAAGACTGCACAGGCAAATGGTGAGTGAAGGGGTGCATATATGCACCCGTAACCCATACGTACAGAGCCAAATTGCCGCGGCCCATTAGGCTGGGCGGCAAGCACATGCTTTACACTGGAAGTCATGAAATGACTCACTTTGTCTTGTCCACTGATCCTTGAGACATTGACCTTCGTGAAAGAGGGGAGATGGTAGTGTGGCGAAGAGAAGATGAAGTTGACGTTTTTTGCATGAGGACGCTCCTTAAAGCGCGAAAGTGAAGAGCTATGACGCATATTGGCGCCTATGGGCGAGACGTGCCCCCGTTGACCACGTGCTCATGCTGATAGCAAACGAGCGGAATCTCCGCTGAGATGTGCTCCCTATCTCTTCCATAGTCCTCCCCACTGCCTGTATGTACCTCCTTTCCAGGGTTTGCTTACTCTCAGTCCTCTTCTACGTGGTGTCAGAATCTTGATATGAGTGCAAGGTCTCACACCACTGCCTAGCAAACAGGTCCACGACCCAACCAAGTTAAAGCTCTACACGCTTACCGAGAGTACTATCTACTGATGCAACCTCAGCCCCTGCACTCAGCACGCTACTTACGTGTATAAGGTAACGTTGGGCACCTCATTGACACGTACGCAGGCCGTTTGTTGTCTGAATTGCTAAATCTGTGCGTGCTCGACCAGACGGTCATCGGGTGGGCAGCTTCCGCTTGTACATCTCAAGTTCCTCGGTGGTTTCTTTTACACACTTTCTTTCAACTATTGCAACAAGTACGGCATTATTTTCATCTCCAAGAGCTTCAATATCACGTCTGCGCTCTACTTGAGCCTTTTCCTCTCAGCGTATGCGCACGCTGCTGTTGCCCCTGCCCTCGACGTTAGCGGGACTCTTGTTCGCAGCGACACTCAGCCTCCCTCGACTGCGAAGCCCGCAGTAACGTTGCCCTCACCGGGATCGACTCCTCTCACGCCATGAGGGCTGCTGCCAACGGCAGTTTTACTGCCACCATCACCAACTTTAATGTGTATGTATCGTCTGTGCGCTCTATTGTCTTTCATCAGCCATCTACCGACAGTGGTGTCGATGGCTCGCGTCAAGAGACCGCTACCATCAATGCCGACGGCACGGGCAAGAACTTCGTCAACGCTGAGGTTCTGCAAAATGGAGACAAGGTATGTGGTCTACCCGTCTGGAACCCTCATCAAGCCGCCGTCTTCGCTAGAATCTTACCGGCACGGGCTCGCAGCAGCTCGTTGTCCAGATCCCCGCAGGCATCAGGCGGTGCATTCAAGAGCAAGTGCCTCGTCTCCTTCATCACCACGGGCGGCTTTGGCAACTGCGTTGTCGTTGAATAGGCCGCCGGCGCGTGGCCACCGGTGCAGGGAACAACACTGCAATTGGCACAGACACTGCCGCCGCCAACAGCACCGTGATGGACGCAGCCAACATAGGAGCCGCCAATAGCACCGCGACGGACGCGGCTGCTACCTCTGTTGCTGCGGTCTCAACCACTGACACTGCTGCCACGTCGACCTCCACCAGGTTCTCTTCGACGCAGGGTGGATCTATTTAGCCTATCACCCCACTCACCGGCGACGGCTACGAGGACGAGACTGAAGAGGAGTCCGAGGATAAGGCAACTCGCGACACATACAACGCTTAGGAACAGCAGTTGGAGGAAGATGAGGAGGGTGAGGCTGATGAGGCTTCCGATGACAGTTATGATTGTGTAAGTTTTGTTGAACAGGCGCTGGTTTACACAGCTTGCCTAACACAGCTGTCACAAGATATGGAACGGCACAGCCGGTTACTGCAATAACCGAGGCTGTACTACTCATGTGGTACACACACAGCTTCGCTGTGTACGCACTGCTTCTCTGTGCGACTGTGCATCCTGGGAATGT